AATGGCAAATAGCAAAGGTGGTTGTGAAGTATTTAATACCATATAGTAGGCTTGGAATGATCAGATTTTTGTGTGTGTGTGTGTGTGGGGGGGGATAAATGTCAGTTTCTCACATGCACAGCCCTCTATGAAAAAATATTTCCATTGATAATTGAAATTAACAGATAGACCAATTAAGAAAAATGCTGCTTGAGAACTTATTAGAGTTGAAGGATATTTACTTTGTATACTTGACTGGATGTTGACCTCCCTCCCATAATTTCACACAACTGTGAAAATTTAAATTGATAAAAATCAGGGGTGGGGAATGCTTAAAAATAAGTATTGATGCTATCTGCCAAAATTATATATAAAATATAAATAACTTGCTGCAAGTCTCCCTATACTTCTCTTATCTCTCTTCTTTTCCCACCTTCAAGACTCTTGTCAAAACAGCCTCAAACCTTCTTCTTAATTTTTTTTAAAAGAGAGAGATGGGTAGGTGCTTATTAAATTTAAGAAGAAAATAATTTTTCATTTTTCAAAATACTTTGAAGGGACCCCACTAACTTAGAAGTCACACTTCTGTCTGGAAATACTGTACCTGTGTCTGCCTTAAGGTAGCACAGTCTGAATCAGGATTGTGATCTCATTGTACTGTGCACAGCTCAGCACAGAGTAGGACAGACCCTGCCGTTAAGAGTTCTGCCTAATTTAAATCAGGATGCAATAGTGGGTATGACAAACAGGAGGCGGGAGGAGGGAAACAAGAAGAATGTTAATATAGATCAGCTATGTACAGCGCTGGATAGTTTGAATTTATATATAATGTTACGTGACTAGTAATAAATGGATGATAGTATTGCAAAGATATATTCTCTAATTCAAACAGGAATTAATCCAGGGGGGTCCTATGGCCTGTGGTATATGGGAGGTCGGACTAGATGATCACAATGGTTTCTTTGATTATATAATCTATGAAGTAAAATTTATGATTAGTATAAATGAAAGAGATTAGAGGGGCACAAATATCAGTTTGTTTCCTTTGTACATTTGACACCTCTCTGTGTATAGCCAATTCCCCTGTTCATCTTGCACAGTAAGTATCCCATATTGTTTATGTGGGACTTTCACATAGAAGCCAAGGTTAGAGGAAACATTAAGAAAATATAATGAAAAAGAAAAACTACAGAGGTAGCGATAGTACCTGAAATTAACTATCTCTTTTCAATTTGACTGTGTCTTTTAAACAGTTGAATCTGAAATTTGAGAGAGGTTTTTAAATTATTCTCATATATTTGACTCTCCTGTACATTTTATAGTTCTCCTTACACATTGTGTGAAAGAAATCAAGTGGACCAAAATGGGTTCCTAGTCTTTACCCAGCCAAAATTTCCCATTCATTTTGTTTAACTGAGGATTGCAGAGTTAGTCCTCTGAGCTATACCATCAATGTTGATAGGACCAAAAACCTAATCTGCTTTAAGAATGTTTCCTCTCCACCCACTTCTTTCATTTAACTGTCCACCTGAGCCTGAAGCATCTGATTCTTCAAAACAAAAGTCTCCAATCTCTATGCTGGGTGACCACTCAACCTAGGTTTAGGTTTCTTTGAAATATCATGTGTTACACTCGCATGTTAATTTGTTTCTCCATGTTCGGTGTGTTTATTGTATTTTTGTGAACAGGCCGAGTATTGGGACAAATTTCTGTTGGATAACTGTCATGCTTGCTTGTAAGAATGGTGTAGATCGCGGAAAGGATATTTGTGATATGCCAACTAAAAAAGTGTATGGTTTTTGACACTCTCTTTTTAAAAGGCTGACCTCTCTAAAAAGCAGTAATTCTTGCCATTCAAGTTGACTTTCTAAATTAGCAGAACAATATTAGAGTAGGATGGAAAATATTTTCCCATCATATGTAGTAGTAACTTTGTAAATGCTTTAGGCTTGACTATTCATATATATTTTTAACCAAGAGCTCACACAGTGGGAGGTGACTAGTAAGAGTGAATGGGGTTTGACAACAAAAGCCTTATCAGGAAGTTAAAGGCAAACACAAGCTCACCATTTAATTCAGAATTAAATGAAGTAGGGGGAGTTAAACAGAAGGGATGAAGCTGAATTTACTGGATGCTTTAAGTAGTATTAGTAGCAAGCATGTGGACATCCTCCATATTGACTTTTTTTTATTGGGTTCCATTTACAAACATTTTAATGTTGAAACTAACATGACACTTTTTTCTCTCTTGCCCTTTGCCTTTGATTTTCAGTTTCCCTAGCTTGGGTCAAGTGACTTATTGTTGATCTCCCGTGTTGATCCTATACTTCCAAGGTCTGAATTGACTCTTCTTGGGGTGTTTCCTGTATTGTGACTGACATAAGTGCTGTTCCTAGCTTGATTGATTTTTCTCCATATTTTTCTTTTGGTTTTCTTTCCATTCCCCTCACCTCTCCCATTACTTTCTTATGCCTATTTATTCCTAGTTCTCTGTCCTTGCATCTGCCTTTCCCACTCTCATTCTCCTACCTGGTTCATTCCTTCCTTTGTTTCTGACTTTCATTCTCTAGATTTATGTCTACCTTCCTTCTTACCCTAATTTCCTATCTTTTTTTCAACATACTCTGCTTGCTTGTTCACTCACATATTCAAGGATATCTTAGGCTTCCCCACTTCCCTGTCTGTCCTGCCCAAGGATCTCTGCAAGCTTCATACTCTATATTTGTCTAGCTTTTTCTGCAGTTAATATATGGCCAGTGATGTTGGAAATTGTATGCAAAAAGCTCCCACCCTGGCTGGGGTAGGGAGTAGGCAGCGGATAAGAGGACAAACTGTTAGGGAAGGTAATTAATTAGGTGGGGTGAACTAGAGCAGTGTTTCTCAACCTTTTTGATACCAGGGACCAGTTTGCTTCCTTCCTTAAACTGTGTCAGGGAGATCACAGGGACCAGCACCGCTCCACGGACCAGTCCTTGACAAACGCAGAACTAGAGTGCTCCTCAACTCTTCCCCAGAAAGGAGTTATGTTCTGCCTCAGTCTGACTGTAGTGTCTCTGCAGAGATTTAGCTTTCCTGCTGTTCTTCAGAATGGAGGCTCAGAAATTCAGTTTTTAAGTACAACTTAATTTATATGACGAGAAATAATTTCTAAAAGCTCACTTAAGCACCCTGAATAGAATAAACTTGGTGCAACTGGCTTTTAAGTAACACCTCTAAATAGTAATAAATTTTATCCTGTTGTTGGATTTGCGCTATTTCAAACAACGGTTTAGAATTTCCAATTGTCTTACATTTTTAACAGGCGGGTGAGCATGTTGTAAAATAGCCTATCTGGTGCTACACAAACTAATGAAATGCTGGAATCCTTTTTATGTTTCTGACAGACACTCCACTTGTGCTAAACTTGATGACTATCACTGCAGGGTTGGAATCTTTATTACAGCACCAAGTGCAATCTAGTGTTTGGAACAAAAAAGATAAAAACCATGCACTGTTTTAAGTAATCTACCCATAAAGGCAGCTACTTTGACTCTGCAACACCTTTCATAGTTTATTGCTTAAAGAGGAAAAGCTTTGAAATGCTTTGGAGGAATTCTACAGTCATTTCAAACATACAAATTATTCATTTGCTGATCATTTAGAGTATTATTGTGTAGCAAAATTGCTTTGCTTGTTTTAGTATTCAGTTTTATTTATAGCTATTTTTTAATCTTTAATTTTTTGCATTGATAATTTTAGTGGTAATACCTGTTTGGTACATTACGAATATTTTTAAAACTAACAAATTTAATTAAATGAAGTTTTCAATTGGTTTTATCCACATGAAATATACTGTAGACGTAAAAGGTTGTGTGATGAAGTCCATCATGATAGTATATAATTTATAGACTTTAAAAATTCGGAGTTTCATTAAACAGCTGAATAGCTGTTACCAAAGCTTCACAGTTTCAAGGTAATTTAATGTGTGTGTTTTAAATATTCAAGTATACCCCTGTGAAGTTCAAGAAATTCTGACTTGCTACTTCTGTAGCATCCTTAGCTTTGAGCTATTGTTCCTGTTATAATAGATATGTTGTTTAGATTGAAAGTCTGGCTTCTGTAAATCCATGGTAGTATCTTCTTTAGCCAGATTTTGTTGTAGAGAAAATGTGTATGTCTAAGTTACAAAACTCTTAAAACAGAAAGTTATACACTAAACATAATAGAAACTGACAGTCTTAAAGGGAAACTGTCGAAGTTGGTAGCTTGAAAATTGTGTTAGATTCTTACCTTTTTTTTATATATATATACGTAGAGTGAATGGAAAAATATGTGACTTGCTAGCATTGTTCTTGCCGGACTAACCCATGACTGTTCTGATTTCAGTGAAATGCTGATGAATTTCATCAGTAAAGTTCAGCAGTGTGGGTGCTAGAGTGGAAAACTAGTAACAAAACAGATATTGCTCTTTTCTCTTTATTGAGGTGGCATGGATTAACTAACTTGGACCTGCTGGTTTTTAAAGCCCGCAACAGCTTAGGCCTGTGCTATATTTGAGACTAGTGTTATCCTTATGAATATCTGTGATCTGACACTACCTGACACCAAATATGAGTTCATTACTCCTTACTTTTTAAATAGCATAACATTTCCCCCAATTGTATTTTCTAGTATGACCATTGTTGGATTGTGTGTATGTAAGATGGAAGGAAAAAAGATTTGAGCTGTTGAAATTGAAAATAATCTTTATAAACTTAAAAAGAAAACTTAAGAGCAAAAGCATATTTTAATGTCCAAGCATAACATGCTATGTGAAGCAATCTGATTTTTCTTTTCAAGGGTTTACATCATTTTAAAATGAAGTAATAAGAAAATTTAATTTATTCTCCTCCTCCAGTATTGCTTTGATTTAGCTCTTGTTTACACAAAGTTCCTCTACAAGTAGCTTGTTAAACTTTTGCAGCTTTAAAACAGCAAGATAATGTGTTTTTTTTTTTTTTGTATTGGATCTATAACTAACTAGCTGTATTACCACTCCACAGGAAACTGTTGTGCTGAAAGGAAGAATTAACTGGTCTTTCAACTTCAGCCTTTTTATTGTGAGAAGGAAGATCACAGAAGTGTTACCATGGGGAGAACAGCAGCTAAAGGTAAGGTTGGTGGCTTTTATCCCAAAGGAAAGAAAGTAGAAAACATAAAAGCTATTTTTGATTAGATGGGGTATTATTATACCTAATAACAATACAGCAGTTATTATTATTATTATTATTATTAAGTTGAAATAGGATGGTAATACATACTGAACTTGTTATGAATCAAATTAAAGTAAAAAAAATCCAAACTTACAGTAGGCATGCTAAATTTAGCCTTAATTGAAACCATTCTATATAATTTCACCCAAAATAACTGTTGCCCTCTGACAATCTAGAAAACAGAGTCCCAGTAGAAAATTTAAGCACATATCTAGATGTGTTGTTAAAATATAATCCTTTATAGGTGATAACTGGATTCTGTGACATCTGCATAGTTTATCAGAATAATGTGTAATAGCAGGTATTAAGTTTTATAATAGCAAACTGCATCAGCAACTATCTTTCAAAAGCCCATGTAGACAGGTTAAACTGTTTGTTTTATGCAGTTTAATTTCTCATCTATACAATGGCATTCTCTCTAGTCATGTCTTCTACTGTGCTGTATCGGGGGGAAAAAATCATAAGTTATGGTGTTTTGCACCAACTTGAGGGTGAGATTTGAGTAGAAGTGAATGTGTGAAATAGAATAGGCATGAAATGGAAATACAGACTCTTGTGAAGAGAGTCCAACTACTCTGTAACTGGTCCTTTTCAGTTTTCGGACAGGTAGTTCTGCTCTATAGAAAATTGCTAAGATTTTTGCACCCAATTCATGCCTTCCACCTCTTCAGCCCAATTGCTTTCTCTGCAGTTGTCTACTACTTTGTAAACTGAGTGGTGGTCTGTTCTGCAGTGGATCATCTATGATGACTGCAGTTGTGCATGTAATAGTTGCACAAGTTGATGCAGAGCCTGTGGAGGAACCTTACTCCTTGTATGGTAGGCTTCTGCCCTGCCTGTTTGAAGATGCTGCAAGACAGGCCCTATTCCTGGCAGACAAATAGGCTGGAAGCCCATCTGGGATGGGTCACCTAGAAAATAACAAACACAGGTTGAAGGAGATGGAGCTGTTCCAGATCCACCCTGCTTCAGGGTGTACACAGATTTGAGAGAAGTTCTGATGGAAGATGTTAGCCAGCATCTCCTCTTCCCATCCCCCTCTTGGAGGTGGATAAAAGGGCCTAGACAGAGTCTCAGGTGCATTAGGGATCAAACATTTCCCCCTTTTCTGGTTGCCATCACAGGTCTTCAGAAGGGCAGTGGTCAACTTGTTGGGGAATGTTCCCCCACTCCGTCTCAGTCCTCCACTCCTGAGGGGCAGCTGGGGCCTTCTGTGTGGGGGGGGGGGAGGGAATAGTCTTTCGCCATCTGTAACTCTAAAGTGCTTGACAACTCTGAGGAACAGAGGTAGAGACTCCTCAGAGGGAGGCTCCTCACACATTATCAGAGCTAGCCAGGGTGGAAGACTTTGACTCCCTTGTTGGAGTGGTGTCTGGAATCTCAAGAATAAGTCCCTAGGAAGTGGCTGTGCAAATCTTGATAGACCGACCCTCTATTGCTCCCTTCCCACAAGGACATCAAGGAAATAGTGTCTTGGGAAAAGACTGATACATACTTTCTAAGGCAAGGCAATGCACTGCTTTCATTGTTTCCCAAAAAGATTCTATGAGACTTGGGGCACTCTCCTATTGGAGGTGTAATAGTCATATCATTGGTTAAGAAACTGGCTCTTCTAATAGGGGGGTGTTTTCTCTGAAGGCTCTCTTCTGTCAGGAAACTGGAGTTCAACGTTAGGAGGAACTGTAAGTGGTCACTAGGATCATCTTAGTTGCTTCTACCAGACTCTATGCTCGAAGGAGTTAGCCTTCTTAGTCCCTGGAGGATTGCAAGTCAATGAAGAAAGCTTGGGTCAGTCTCCAGTTGTCTCTGATTTCTTGTATGATGGCTGTGATTACTCTGGCTTGTCTTCTGATGAGTGATCTTATCAGCAGAAGAATTTTATGTCTACAGATTGGAAAGAGGTGCTCCAGACCAACCTCCCAAACATAATATCTGTAAAGTGTAACCTGGGTGGATGGAATTGCTCAATCATGGTTCCATTCTTTTCAAAACTTGGGGTCTTACCAGAAGGCAATGGACAATTTTTCGTCCCCCTCAAGGTCTCAGTCATGTGGTATCCAGCATGATTCAATCTCCAAACACTTCCTATTCAGTGGGAAACTGCTTTGGACCTTGGAAGAGAACCAACTGTTTTCAGATCAATCCCAGTTAGACCAAAATAATGTTAATTTGGAAGGGAATTGCATTTGGAGGAATGGGATGGGGTTGTGACTGTTATCCCTATGTAAGGATATGTACACACACCATCTTGGGGTTTTGTTGGACCTTTTACTTATCCTTTTCCCTGGTGTTGGCCTTATTGCCTTTCTATTTTGTCTGGATAGTCATTTTAAAGCATTGAGAAGGAAATGGAAAACAGGCCAAAGAAGAGGGAGAAAATGTCCCCTTTAGTCAATAGACCAGAACTCTTAATGTCTGCAGGCCAGTAGATCATATCTTTGTTCTTAGTTTAAAACATGAAGAACACTTGTTGGGCTAACAACATCAGTGAAAATGTTAGCCCAAAAGGTTACATTTAAAATGGTGCATGAAAACAGGAGCTCACGTTCACTATAACTGTGGGTTGCACAATATTATAAGAGAATGATTGCATTTTAAAAAAAAGGAATAGTAGCTTACTATTTATGCTTAAAACACCTACTGTGATCACAGCAGCGATCCCCATCATAGCTGTGAAATATCAAGGCTGTCACTGATCTGAATGCAATAATGCTATGTTTAAATACACTTGTTTACCAAGAAAAATAGAGACTGAGATTTGAAATCCACTGCCTTAGTTCTAGCCATGTGAAACGATCTACATCTATTTCATGGCTTGAAAAATTTACCACCTTCTACACAGGGTGAAAAATAACCTATGCTGTCTGTCTCTGCCCAAAAGCAACAAAGAGCACTTGCTCACTTATTTGCTTCCATTCTCCTTCACTCACTGCCCACCTCCCCGCCAGCATATCAAGAAGAACAAGTCCGTTAGATTTGTTTTTTCAGATATTTTCTACCACTTCTAAATTGTCTATATTGGAGATAATGGCGTCTCAGTTCCACCACTTCCTTGCTTCTGTGACACACAAGATGTATGATCCGCTTTATGACATTGGATTGTACCTTCATTTTAGTTTCCAGGTAAGTATCAAACATCTGTCAAAAATATAGACATTTGGTATGGAACTAGCAATTGACATTGAAGTATGATCCTAAACTGAAAAGGGAATTGAATGCTCTGCAGCACAATGGTTGTCTTAATATTTGCTAATGTGGCAAAGCTGTGAATAAAGTCAATTATGGGTAGCTCATCTGTCTACGGGTATCTTCATGGCTAACTTCTCTTGAGTTAGGCTAGTTTGAGTGAGAGCAGCGACACTGAAATAGTGCTCAAGCTGCATAGAATGGCTGTGGTAGCAGCCGAGTATTGTGCTCACTTGAGCTGTAGCATATACCCCTTGACAGGCCAGCCAACTTGAATTAAAAGCACCACTACACTCAAGTTAAGGGATTTTGTGAGAGGCTGGAACTTGAACTAGGGGCAACACTCACATTATGGCTTGAGTTATCTCTTCAGCCAGTCCTACTAGTTTTATTCCCCCTTATTTGTTCCCCACACAGAGGGCTTTTCCTTGTGGTACTGATACCTGAAGTAAGTAAAGTGAAATTGATTGTGTGCTACTCATGGGTTTCACTCCTTTTTCTGCTGATTCATTGGTGTGGTATAGGTACAGGCCTGTATTCAATGAATTAGGGTTGCAGTGAGACCCTTAACTGAGAAATAAACTGTTAATTTTTTTTTTTTGTTTTTGTTTTTCCGGACCTGCACCAAGATTGTCAAAAATGTTTAGTGATCTTGGGTTCAGCAGTTTTTGTGTGGCCAACTTGAGACACCTTAGAGGGGCTTGAATTTCAGAGGGTCGTGTGCAGCACATTGAGCATCACGACCTTTTCTTGTGTCTCAAATCACTAATGTCTTTTGGAAACCTTGGCTCAAAGGTCCAAGATGTTCTTTGGCTTAATACTCTCCCTCAAACTATAAAACAAAAGCAATTTGAAAATAAAGGTAGATTGCTGTTTTTAAAATTTTGGAAGACATTTGTTTGTTGACAGCCAAGAAGCATTCTTTGTAGAATTCTTTCTTTCCGTGCTTGTACCTTTATCTTGATGTTAGTGTCTCTTTTAAACTCTGAGATGAACTAGAATAAGAATAAAATTTACCTTTTTATGACAGTGAAATATATACACAAAAATCTGTGGTTAATAGAATGTATTTGTCTTGAGAGTTATGTTTAAAAGTGCTCTATATTAGACTAATTGTTACCCTGGACTTTAGTATGATGTGAATGCTAAATCTGTTATGTAATGACATTTTATGTGTTGTAGATTCAAAGAATGTTAAAAAGGAGAAACATGGGAAGAGTCAGCAGTCAAACAATGTGTCTTTAAAAAATGGTAGGTATTAAAATTGTCAGGTTATTAGTCAAGGTAATGTTTAAATGTAAATATTTGGATTGTGTTGTATGAGTATCTTTTACACCTCTCAAGCTGTTACTGATGACTGGAATACATAAAATAATAGAATCATCTGAACCCCTGCTGTTAACTTCATTAGTGGACAGTGTTTTGATATTGCACATATAAATGTCTTTGGAAGAGTGAAAGGATTGACTTTAGCATAGTAGTTCAGCTGACCAAAAGGCAAATACTAGTTACCTATGTAATCCCCTGAACAAAAATGTGTGCATCCCAATTTTTTTAAGATGAAGTTTTGGATTCTTACTGTTTTCTACCTCCTTCTTTAGTCCTATTTATACCTTTTCTCTCTCAAAAGTCTCCATTGTTTTTTCTCCTTAACTACCATGTTTGCTGATACTGAAGAGAGAAGTTGCAATAATTGGGCTGAATCTTCATTAATGCTAAATAGGTAGGGAAGGTAAAATAATCTTATGCATTTGTTCTTCTGTGGGAAAAACTAAAAAGCAAAGTCGATTGTTTGAGACTAAATGAAAGTTCAGAACATTTCCATTTGTAGTTGTTTCCCATAATTTGAAATAAAAATGGATACCGTCACTCTTAGCAGAAAATGATGGTTTTTTTTCATCAGGGACAATGGGTCTGTCATTTGGAGGGGGTGAGGAAATCACCTGTGTTTTTTTTTTTTTAACTTAGCTACATGTCTTATAGACAACAACAAGAGTTTTCAGTAAGTTGTTGCCACCATCTCTTTCCTACTAATTAACAGAAGGGTGGGGCACTCCCACTGTCAGAGCCCACTGAGCACACGCTTACTCCTGGGGGAATTCTGCGCTAAAAAATTAAAAATTCTGTGCACAATATTTTAAAAAAATGTATTTATCAAAATAACACAATATAATCACACCAGTTTCAGTTATTTTGGTAATTTATTTAAAAATACATATCAGCAAGTATGTCAACAACACAGAGAATTAAAAAGATTCTCCCAGGAGAGTTTAAAGAAACACCTATGACAACCCATTTCCAGTTAGGGGGTGCTGGAGAGGGCTGCATGATTCCTCCCCCCCCCCCAGCCCAGACACATGCTCCTCCTCTCTTCCCCAGAGCCCAGTCATGATGCCCCACCCCCGAGCCCATCCCCCATAGCTTTGTCCCGTTGAGGGCCGCGGTGCAGCCCTGCCCTTCCTCACCCTTTGCCAGAGCCAGATCTCCCGGGCCTGTTCCCATTAGGCGGATGAGGATCAAGCCCTGTTGCCAGAATGTGCAGAGCTTCCATTCCCGCCAGTCCAGGCACTTGGCTCACTGCAGAGCCTGGCTCTTCTCCAGCATGCAGAGTGCAGCGGCCCCTAGAGGTGGCCAGTAGCTCTGCAGCCCCAAGTCTGTGGGGGGAAAACATGAAATTCTGTGCAGGACATTAATTCTGCATTGTGCAGTGGTGCAGAATTCCTCCCAGAGTAACACACGTGATCACTGCTGGTAAAGGGAAAAGCTTCCAGGTAGAGGCGCTAGTTAGAGACTTCATGAGGCGTGGAGGTGGTGAAACAGGTGGGTAATGAATTTGGGAGAGTTGAGAATAGTATGGAACTGACAAGAGTTTTGTGGGGAGTATTTTACCCAGGGAATGTCACATGTATTGTTGACTGAGGTAGAAAACTTTTAAAGGGGTCTTTTGTTAAAACTTTGATAGCACATCAGAATTATAAAATTTCATAAAACTAAAACACTAAGGGCTTCCATGGGCATCTACTTAAACAGAAGTTTTTAGTCTGCTACAGAGACTTTTTAGCTGCTATCCCTGAAGATCTTTCCCATCCAAGGAAGAGTAGTCTCATTGGTCCTCACACTGGCTGGGAGCTACTTTTTCCATAGACTGACGTTGCAGTGAACCACAGATAATTAATGGAATGACATCCTGATGTCATATTAGATATCTGTATTGTAACTGTGTAGTTGTTATGACATCACACCTATAGATGTCATCTCCGCAGTGTTGTGTCTGCAAACATGTTAAAGCTCTCTAGAACTTCATTTTGACTCATTTTCTTCTCTTCCCTAAGGCTGTTGGGAGAGAGGTGTTTTTTTTTCCCTCCTCCATTCCTAGCTATTGGGAGGGATCCTTGCAGTTTTCTGTTGCTGCCAGTAAATACTGGGCAGTAGAGCAAATGGTTCTGTGATTAGTGCACCGCTTGCTTTCCTTTGCCAGTGTGAGTGAGAGGAGCTGCAGTCACACTTAGGGACTCAAATGCCATGTCAATACTTGGAAGTATTTCTCTGTTTGACATCTAGCTTAATACGCAATGTGAATGTCAGCCTGCGGAATGGAGCCGGTCCCATCAACCACTCTCTGGTACCGTTCAGGAAGATCAAAGACCCCGTGCCATCAACTCTGGTTCTGGCTCTGGGCGTCCATTGAGTCCCATATTGAAGAGGGTGATGCTGGCACTGGCTGTTTCTGCACTGGCGGTATATCAGGTGGCAATGGAGCTCCTCTGCCTTTCTGTCCTGACCTCTCCCAGGACTTTGCCAAGGCTGCTTAGTTTATAGCCCTGTTGGCTGGGTGGGCTGCTGAGCCTGAGGGTCTGTTGGCACCACACCCTGATGTTTCCCTTTGACAGTCAGTGGAAGTGGGTCTGGTGCTGGGCTCAGCACAAGGGACCTCCCCAGCACTGGGAACTTCTTGGCACCCCTGCTGTTGGCACCACTGATGTAACCGTGGCAGCACACACCTCCCTCCACTTCAGCACTGTCAGTCACCTCGGCTTCAGGGTTGACACCTCTTCAGGCACTGGAAACAACGGAGGTGTATTTATGCCAGCAGTACCGTTTCCACCATCTGCACCAGTTCCCTCTTCATTCTGGGCTATGGATGAGTCAGGCCAGTTGCTTTCACCCTCAGGGCTGGCTCCACCTTTATCCCCTGAAGTTTGGGACTCCTCAGCATTCAGGTTGGGATCTTCCTCCACCTGCATCAGGGCCCAGTCAAGGAGAGCTATGGGTACCATGATAGGTGCTTGTCTCACGGTGGAAATGGGGGCCCCGGCCTGATGTCTACTGGCCACCAGTGCCCTATCCATACCAGTGGGCTGCATGAAATCTGTGGGATGCGCCTCGGTTGCGTAGGTCCCACTCCTCATCTCCCTCTAAGGCAAGATCATTGAGCAATCCTGTGGTAGTGACGGTCGATCTGCCACAGGCCCAGGCACCAGTGAACCTTCCCCATGTGGAGCCTCCAGAGTTGTCCTGTCCAGGTCTGTCAGTCCTGGAGTAGGATCCGGCTCTGGCACAGTTAACCGTTTTGTCTTCGTCCCCCGATGATTCTGCGGTGCCTGGATCTTTCTTTCCTTTGATACCAGAGGATTTCAAGATATACCAGGACCTTTTGCGGCACGTGGCTGTCTTCCCTGGGTATTCATGCAGAGTTCCTGCAGGAGAATATTCATAAGTTGTTGGACATCCTGCAGCCATCTGCCCCTGGGAGAGTAGCCTTCCCTATTAATGATGCACTCCTAGAGCCTGCTAAGGTTGTCTGGAGCATGTTGGCTTCAGTACCCCCTATTGCAAAGCACATGGAGAATTGCTACTTCATTGAGGTGCAGGGATTGGGGTTTTTTTTTTTTACTCCCATTCAGCCCCAAATTCCCTGGTCATAACTATGGTGAACAATAGAGGGCTGCAGGACAGATTTAAGTCCACTCCCAAAGATAAGGACTCCAAGCATATGGCCCCGATGGGTAGGAAGATTGACACCTCCTCTTATGTGTAGATGCACATTGCTAACCAGCAGGCATTGCTGTCTAAATATGACTTTGTGAATTGGATGGCTATGTCTGAGTTTGCGGACCAGTTGCCCGAAGTCTTGAGGGAGGAATTTGGGGACATTTATCACTAAAGGCTGCTTGGTGACTAAGACTTCGTTATGGTCCATGCTGGACATTGCGGATACTTCAGCCAGAGTAATGGCTTTGGTGGTGACCATGAGAAGGGAGTCCTGGCTGCAGAATACGGGCATTGTCCTGGTGTGCAACAAGCCATAGAAGATTTGCCCTTCAGCTGATGCTTTTTTCGGACAAGACAGACAAGATTCTGCACTCCTTCAAGGACTCTAGGGCTGCCCTATGATCTTTGGGGGTGTGTATGCCAACAGTGCAGAGGGGCCACTACAGTGATCAACAGCAGTAGCAGCAGCAGTATTGTTTGCAGCACACATTTGGGAAGCCTTTCCCTCCCCTGAGACAACCGAACTACCCCAGAAAGGGGCACAGGTCCTAGAGGAGGAAGCATTCAGTTCCGGGGTTTGGCCACTTGACACACCTTCCCTGGAGCCGAGCCCTCCCTCCCCCCGTTCCTGATTTTGACTTCTTGGTCCAGAGGCAGTGTTACAATTTTTGCTCTCTTCTCCCCATTCCCTCTGTTTGGGGACAGACTGGCTTGCTTTCACAATGCTTGGGGCTTGATCACCACTGACAGTTGGGTCCTAAGCACCATCAGATTGGGGTATGCCATCCAGTTCCTTTCCCCCATCTTCCCCACCCCCAGTCTCCATCCCTCTTCAGGGACCCCCTCTTATGAAATATTGCTCCTCAAACAGGTTTGCTCTTTACTGGCTTTGGGAGCTGTAGACGAGGTTCCACTGGAACACTGGGGTCATGGCTTCTATTTCCGTACTGTCTGGTGCCTAAATTCAAGGGAAGGGTAAGACCCATTCTCAACTTTCCTGGCCTCAACAAATATATCAGATACATGAGGTTCCAAATGGTCACTCTATCAACTGTCCTCCCCCCGTTGTCACAGAACAACTGGTTGGCTGTTCTTGACCTTCAGGACACCTGGTTTCATGTAACAATTTTGCAGAGAAACTGGAAATTCCTTTGATTTGTCGTAGCGGAGCACCATTTTCAGTATACAGTGCTTCCCTTCTGCCTCTCTTCTGCCCTTTGGGTTTTTACCAAATGCGTAGTTGTGGTGAAGGTGTACCT